CATCCTCATCACAACATCGCACCGCGTACATCTCACATCATTGCATCCCTCTTTATTCATGGCTCCTACACCGCTCGTCTCGATCCGCACATATCCGTCCGGTTCATCTTCACGCGCGCAATGCTGTGTCATAATTTCAACGTTTTGCTCAATGCGCACAAATGTCACTTTCGCAAGTGCACAAATACATCCAAATCATGTTACATGCATGTGCAATGATAACATATCGTCACATCATCGTATTGGTAAAGTCGAAATATCATCATACACATCATTAAAATTGTCATATTCAACATTCATTGAATTAATATGAACATAGATTTATAACAGTTATATATAAACACATTATCATATTGTAATTGAATGCAGTTAATATTCATCATTCACCCAAAAAGTATCATTATGAAATTTCTTTTGTTAATTTTCTGGTAATAATTGTAACCTATTTATTTATTTTAAATTAATTATGAAAACATTAACTAATAATCTATCCTATTTTCAAGCTATTTATGGTACGGTATCAACCGAGAAATATAAAGCTTATTAGTTTGATTATACTTTATGACAATAATTTTCTTATCTTAAACTAATAATTATTAACATATGGATTTTAATTCTTCAAAATTAAACCCTTAAAATTGATTTTATACCTTTCTCTTATAATATCACATAATCAATAGTTAATTTAACAATAAAGATTTTATCATTAAAATTGAAAATATTAAACAAAAAATTCAGAGCTTTCAATATTTATGTATTTATTATAAAACTTTGTAGTATTTTTCATTCTTACAAGGAATTATTATAACATAATTAAGTATTGCTATGAATAAAGTCCGACTCACTTATGTAACTTAAATTAATCTTAATACTATCTTTAAATTTGTAAATATAGATTATCATTATATACAATAATAATAAAAATATTGATCAAGACTTAACTAATTAAGTCTCTATAAGTAAAGAGCTTTTTTCTAGAAAATGAAGTAGCGTATTAACTTTTCTAAATATTTTTATTACGTTTAATATTTAACCGAATTTACTTCTTTTCTCTAACCTTATACTACCTTAATATTACATCTTTCCTTTTACACAAATTAAAATTGTAAATTTTATGTTTAGTTTCATTATTGTAGTCTTTATTTAAATTTTTTGATTTATATAGTAATACTAATTAAAGTCCTGATATACCTCTTTTAACGATAGTTTTTATCCAACTACCAACGTAACACCAAAATACGTGAAAAGCTATTAATTCAAATCTATTTAAGCATAAAAAGTTGAAGTATATTATAATTATAGATATTTGCTTAATGATTATTAATAACCGGCCCTTCAAAAAAAAAGTAACATGACTTTTAGATTACGAAAGTCGTTTAACTTTGATAGTATAATAAGAATAAATATAGTTTTAAATATAACATAATTTTTAGTACCCCATAATTTAACTTCATAGTAAATAAGCAACGTTCTTCAATATTTAATAAAGAATAGTGTTATATTAGTACTATATCCTTTTAATGTTAATGTAGTAACTCATTATATTAATAAGTTTTTTAATAATGGAAAAATCAGGTTTTTTTTAGATAGCTTTCTTAAAGACTTATAATATTACTTTCGGAGCTATTTTAACCCCTCGCTACTCGTCATTTTATTTTACCGTTTTAATAGTAGGTATAGCTACTATTTTCATATTTTGCGTCACGTCCGAGCATATTTTTCTTTTTAATGATTCACTACATAATAATAAGATAAATGCTATATTCAATAAATATAAAAACTACTTTTATTGTAATACAAAAGAAACAATCATAAACAATTTAATTTTTTTGGAGGGATTTTATTTACATTACAAATAGTATATTTACCTACTTATGGTTGTATAACTTTACTTACAAAGTTTGGAAA